ATATAATAAACTACTAACTAATTTATATCAAGAAGTATGATATTTGAAAGATTTAGATGTAGTAGATTTGTTTAAAAGAGACAAGGTTATGAGATTCTTATAAGGGTTTAACTAAACTATTTATAAAGAATATAACTAGACTAAACTAAACTGATAATTCCTAACACTAAGTAGAGAATTATAACACAAAAACAATATACCAAGATCACAAAGCAAGGTATAATTCAACAAGGGTTTCAGTATTTCACTAGAAATAATACAGAATTTTACTAAGAAATTACAATGGTATAAATAATAATTCACAAGAATATTATTTATAAGGCAAATCACAAAGTATTTTATTAACAAGAACTGAGAGTTAACTCTTGAACTCGAATGGAACTGAAGACTGAGCAAAGAGAAATTCAGTCCTTTATATACATAATTGAAGTTATAATAGATTATGCTGTAAACTACACTAATGTATACACTATTAATTATACTAATATATATACTATTAACTATACTTTCTACTACGCTATCTATTACATTATTCATTACACTATTCATTACACTATTGAATACATTATTGATTATGCTGTACATTATACTGTTGATTATACTCAGATCTACAGTCATAATACTGAATAGTTATATTAATTTCTAAATGATTTACACTAATAGTTTCCTATATAATATACTAATAAAAATATGAAATTAAACTAATAAAATATAATTATAAATAAGCTAATATATGATAATAAAAGAATTATATAATAAATGAATAAGATAAAAATATAGTAATAATAAAATTTTATAACTAGGGTCAACAGCACATTAAAAAAATATAAATTTCTCAATAAATATTTAAAAAAAAAATACAAAAATTTATTTAATGACCTTCTAAATCTGTTTACTTAGTAGTCCAAATATAGTTATGAAAGTGGTTCAAAAAAATCAGAATGAATTAATTTTTTAACATAAATTTCTTAAAAATTTTACTTTGAATTTGAATATCGATTATTCCTTTATTTGAAATTATATAGGTATGAAATTTATATATTATATGTATTTTGGCTTATTCTTTAAGGTTACTTATAAGCATTTTTTATATTTTTTTTTTTTTTTTTTTTTTTTTAACCATCGGAGTCTTGTTAGATACTTTATTAAATAAAACAAATGTTAAATTTACATGTTGTGTTCTAACTACCTACTCTAAACTAAATTATTGCTAATTTAATCTAGACGACGAGTTGACCCATCGACGCCCACAAGGTGGGAATTGATGGTCAAAACTCCATCAGTTAATATAATTATAATAATATTTATAGAAAAGAATATTTCCATGCATAGTTAGTAAGTTATATGAGGTTACTGCGTGTTTGAGAGAAGAAGTATATAACTGTTTATATGATTTATTATTATTTTTTTTAGCATTATTGTCTTTTGTTTTATTTCTATTTGATTTTTTAGGGGTTTTAGGATTTGTATTTCTTTTTTGTTTCCTTGTTATGTTTTGAGTTTCTTCCCATTCTAGGATCTTTTGGATTCGGTGGTACCAGGTTTGTTCTAGTTTAGTTTGGATAAATGTTTATATGTTGGTATTTATTGTTTTTGCTGATGTTTTGGATTTTGTGATTGTTTTTATTTTCTTTATCAATGATTTAGATGTATATCCTTTTACTATGTCCAGAAAATGTATTTCAGCTGATTCGTTTGGTGCAGTATTTGTCTCTAATAGAAATGCTGGTTCTTGACTTAAGATCTGTTTAATCGAGTCAAGTGTCATGTATTTAGTATTTTTTTTTCCTTTTTGTTTGACTTGTTTTGCTGTTAACTGTATGGTTTCTTTAAGCAAAGTATTAATATTATATTGTTCTTCTAATGCTTCGCATATGAACACATGTATATTTGTTTCTTTTTCTTGATTGCAAAATGGACATTTATTTGTAAAGTACAAATGTGGACGGCGTTGATGGAGTTTGTCCATTGTCGGGAGTTCATTGTTTTGTAACCTGAGTTTGAATGAACGTTGTCTGGTATCTTCTAATGAGTTGGGATTCTGGTATAGTGTGGACGGATGATTGGTTTTTTGTGTGAGGTGCCAGTTTATGTTGTGTGATTTTCTTTCAGAGATTGAGCTTGATGTACGATTTTGTGTTCTCCATTTATAGAAGGCTGCTGTGCGATTAATAGTCTGAATAGTTTTTTTGATAGGTTCTTCTATAACTTTGTTTTTGAGCATTGGAATAGCTAATATGTTAATGTATTCTCTATTAATTCTCAGCTTGTCAAAATTTAGCCAGTTTTGCGCTGTTATTTTAACTAGATTATCTACTATATTGTTGTTCAAGTTATCTGAATGAGCTTCCACTTTTGTAAGAGTGAGTTTTAATTGGAGCTGGTTAATTATTTGTTTAATCGTTTGTATAATCGGAAGATAGTTTAATTTGTGTAGGACTTTTGTTTGATCTCCTTGAAGGTGTTCATTGATCATACGGATTGCTTCTTTACTGTCTGTATTTATAGTTACTTTCTTTCCTTGTGGTACGACTGTCAAAGCTGTCAGTATGGCCATTAGTTCAGCTTTATTGGATGATGGATATGAGTCAGTATCTGTGACAAAGTACTGTACTGGTGATATAATTGGGTCTGTTATAAGCCACCCCATTCGCATTTGGCCCATGATATATTTGTTATTAAGTGAACCATCTGTGTAAAAAATTATTTCAGCTGGATTTATTTTTGTTAATTCAGATCGAATTTGTTTCATTTTTAATTTTGTTTCTGTTGTGGTAATAAAAACTTTGTCAATAATATTATGTGATCCTTTTAGTGATTTAGGGGCCGGTGTATTGTTCTTTTCAGTAATATGTAATGTATTGTTTACTGTTATAGATTTTCTATATTGCAATTTGGACAATAATTCTGTTCTTGGGTTTATTATTCGGTATAGTCTTGTTGATGGTGCATAGTCTTGGGGTTGTCCTTTAGATAGTTGTACCGTTATATATTCAATTGGTGAGTGTGCCATATTTTGATAGTCAATTAGGCATTTTGTTCTTTTGTCTGAAATGTTTTTGTCTTTCATGTGGCATCCTGGACACGGTTTTATTGTGTTAGTTATGTTTGTGTCATTTAAATGTTCTAGATAATGAATAATATATCTTCTGGGTGGTTGATTGTGAGATTTCTTTTGTTTATTATTGCGCTGGGTTTTAGCTATTTTTCCAAATATTATTTCGTTTGTATGGTTTTTTATGGCAATCCATCCTTTATTTTGTAGTTGTTCTGGTTGTATTTGTAGTTGTGTCAGATTTGATGTTATTGTGTCTTTATCTTGAAGGTTTTGAACATATGATGGATTGATTAAAAGATGTGTTTTTATATGTTCATACCATTTGGGTGATATTCCTTTGCCACCTTTGATTTTGGTTCGGAGATATTTCCAATCCATCAGGTTATAGTTAAAGTCTAGGAGTTGTTCAAGAAATGCTATTTTGTATCGTCTCAGTTGTTTGGATGGAATGATGTATTCTTTAATATTATTATTCCAAAATTGGGAGATATGTATCTTTCCTCCTGTTAGGGTGGTAGTAATTTTAGAGGAGATAGTTGATGTAGACCATTCTATTCCATATTGTTTTGCTAGTATTAGTATGTCTAATGTTAGGTTTTGATGCAAAATTATCTGTTCTTTTGGGATATTTGTCTCTAAGATTGAATTTGGGATCCATACTTGATTTTGTGCTGCTTGTAATCTGATTCTTGTTGTAGCTCCCATTATTGATTGGTCATTGATCCTTGCGCTAAGGGTATTGATATGTTGTTGTGCATATCTATAATATGTGTCGTATAACTCGTATCCTAGTTTTGTGGTGCATATACTGTTAATAGCAGTTTGAGCGAGCCCTGCTTTATATTTTAGAGCTGTAAAGCATTTGGAATTGATTTTATTTTTTAACCCATCTGTAATTGTCAAGTCTTGCATTAGATATTCAATTTTAGGGAAAATTACATGATTGATAATGTAACGAGCTTCTTTATCTGTTAATCGTTTTCTTTGGATAATGTTACAAATATCTGAAACTTTATCCATAATTAACTTGGTTTGGTACGATTTGTTTTTGTTGTGTTGTATATAAATTCCTAGAAGTCGAATTGCTCCTGTTTTACCCACATCTATGATCTTTTGTTTTCCAAATTCTATTGATGCTTTTTGTTCTTTTGGCTTTGTCACATTAATTGTAAGCAGTTCTGACTTTGTATGATTTATGGTCATTCCTGTAAATGAGGAAAATTCTTCTACCAGTGAGAGTAGTTTTATTAACTCTTCTTTTGTTGATGTTATATATGTTGTGTCATCCATGTAGGCGATGGCATTGATTTTTTGTTTGATGTGAAGAGTTTTAAGGTTATTTATGTCTGAAAGATGATGTTCAGTTGATAGGTTGTAACCTTCTGTGCAAGAGTCCAACCGGGTTAGGAGTGGATCATAGTATATTCGCCACAGGAGTGGAGAAAGAGCATCTCCTTGTGGGATACCAGTTAATTGAGTAAATTTATCCGTTTTTCCATGGAAGGTAATTACATTTGTTGTGTTCTGTGTATACAAGTTCATTATCAATGTAATTAGATTATCTGGCATATTAATACGTTTGAGAGCCAGTTGGAGTAATGAATGGTTAATTGAATCAAATGCTTTAGAAATATCTTGTGTAAGGATCCATATGGGTTTTTTGTGTTCTCTTGCATCTTCTAGGCAGTTGTTAATGATGTGAATTGGACCACTCGTCGAGCCTCCCGGCAGTCCTGCCCAGTTTAATTGTGATAACAGTTTGTTATTGGTGAGAATATTTGCAATTCTTAGATAAAGCAGTTTGGTAAATATTTTCCGTGCTGATTCTAGTAGGGCAATAGGGCGTGTCATTCTGAGGTCTTTTTCCCATGGTTTAGGCTTTGCAATGAGAAACGTATTGCTATGATTCCAGTCTTTTGGTATTTGTTTGGTATCTAGAATCTTGTTGAATAGTGAACATAGTTCTGTTAAGTGGCTGTTGTCTAGGTGTTTCCAAAATTCGTATGGTATATTTGATTCTCCAGGAGCTTTTTTGTTGGACATATTCATAATCACCTTTTGAATTTCACTGACAGAGAATGGTAACATAGCCTCAGCAAAAATTTGTTTGTTGTCTGTGTACTTGGGGGTATATTCTTTTTTCCATTCTGGCCACGTTGACAGGGTTGTGGTAGGGTTGTTTTTTCCCCATGAAGCAAATGTTTTAGATATTAGATTTTTAATTTGTGTTGGATCGGTCAATAATATTAATTTGTTTGCTGTGTGGTCTTTAACTGTTTCTGTAATTATTTGAGGTTTATATCGCTCCAATATTTTCTTAAGCAATTCTTTTTTATTTGTTGTGAGGAGAGTTTGTCTGTTTAGAATGTTAGTTTTTATATGACTTTTACAGTATTTTTGTATTTCTATTTCGCAGGCTTTTTTGACTATTGCAAGTAATTCTTTTATACTTTGTAGCTTGCTATTAATTGGTATTGTGTTGTTATTTATGTTTGATTGGTCAATAATAAGATCAGGTGATGTCAATTCGTTGTTGTGTTGTATAATAAGATTATTTAGTCTTAATTGTATTATATTTGTATTGTTTTTATTATTTCTTTTAATTTCTCTAAGAATTCTGTATATTTTTTGTATGCGAGTAACTTCTGTGTATATAGGTATATGGTTATGTAGGTAGGCTTTATGTGATGCTGTTCTGCTGTTATTACGTTTGGTTCGTTTAATTATTTTATTTGCGCTTTGTATTATGTTGGATTTGATTTGCTGCCATTGAGTATGTGTAGAATTTGTTGTTGCGATTGTTTTATTAGATAATTCTTTAGCGAATTTGTCCCAATTTTCTTTTTGAGTCGTATTAAGATTATATCTATATTGAGTTTTTTGTTTATATATGTTTGAAGGAAGTGGTTTATGAAATGTATCAAGTAATATTGCTCTGGCACAGTGGTGGTCTGTTGCAATTTCTTCTTTAGTGTTTATAATATCTGTATCAATTAGTATATCAGCTGTTTTGGGTGATAGTCAGATTTGGTCTATTCTTGATTTAGATTCATTTCAAGGCCATATGAATTGTAGTGTATTTGTTGCGTCCTCTGTATCTGTTTCTAGTTTAATGTTTTGTATTGTACAAAATGTGTCTATATAGTTTTTGTTTGTAAGATATTTGAGCAGAGGACTTTCCATTTTGTTTGGCCTATATTTAGATGTTACAGATCTGTCTATAGTTGGATCTTTTACACTGTTGAAATCTCCTAGTATTATGATTCTATTGATATCAGTGAGTTAAACTTTTTTGTTATTGTTTTAATCCATTCCATCAGTCTTGTATGTAATACTAAGTTAGCTGGTCTGTTTGCTGGCGGAAAGTATATTGTTATAATTTTTACTTTAATTTTCCGTTTAAATATCATGTCTAATGTTATTGCATGGTTTTCAAATGTCTAGATTGAAGCTACGTGTTTGTTGAGTTGTTTTTTCACCATAATTCCTACTCCATAATTATGTGTTTCTGAACCTTTTGTTCAGTAGTATGTGAATTCTTTATCATTAAAGTTCTGGTTAAGGTTATTTTTTAGTATATGGAATTGGTTGTGTGGAGAGTGTCGAGTTTCTGTTAGGCCTAATATATCAAGTTGGTAATTGTTTGCGAAGTCTATTATTTGTTGTTGAGTCATCATATTGTTTAGGCCTTGTACATTTA